ATGAAGTTTAACAACATTAGGATGATGAAACTGACCCATAATGGCTGCCTCTTGTAGAAACTTTACTCTCTCATCCTCTGAAGTTTTATCATTAAGTGTTTTAATAGCAACAGACACTGATCTAGCAGTAGGTGTAGTCCATACTCCTTTATTAACTGTACCAAACTGTCCTGATCCTAAATAATCTGCTACTCTATTGGAGTGAGAATGTGTACATATTCATGAAGCCATACATGTTACTGTTGACATGCATGCACCACATCTGATAATATGAGTAGTCTCTAATGTTTACCATACACTGCCTCTCCCACTCACATACTTGTATGGGTTTGTTTACACAGTATTAAATTAGCCATATGCATCAATAGCTTACACTTTTAATGTCTAGCTCTTACTTTATCTGGTGTCTTATAATTTCTCTGTATTTCCTATCAGATAATTGTTGGTATATACCATCAGTATTACTATCAGGTTCCCAGTACTCAGTATCTTCTATAAAGAATGCATTACCACCAGTATGATCAAGTCTTGAATTTGCAGATGAATGCTAAGCCATAAAAATATAAATTACATATACTATAATTACATGACACAGTCAATACCTGTTCATGTATCAGAGCAGAATAGATTTCTTCACTTTGTTCTCCAGAACGTTCTAACTATTAATAACATTAATTAAAACATAATTAATTAAAATATATCCAGTACATACTGCAGTGGGTACATATAGTGTTGCTTCTTCCAATAGTCCATACAGTTCATTAGAAAATTCAGTATCCTGTTAGGAAAACACAAAACATAAACTGAAAAATGCTTGTTAATCATGTGACATTTACGTTACTCATGTTCTAAAATTGCTGAATGTTATTTTATGCATATGAATGTTGTTTAAGATCATGTTTATTATCCTTAATTACACTGTGCATGCATGAAATGGTTACACATAATAAATGATTACATTTTGCTTCTTAGTTAGAGTTGCTATTGGTTCTTCATACAATAATGGAGCACTACCTAAATAAATATAATCGGTTACACATTCTATTAAAACATGCTCTACTTCTTTCATTGGGATCTTCATAATTTGGATTACTGACATCAGTCATTGTGTCACTATAAAGTGTTGCATCACCATAAACTGCTTCTATTCCTTTCATCAATGGCATTGGCACTTCATAAACATCAGCTGCACCTGTTTATACAGGAAGAAAATAGAAATTTTTTAAAGACATAGAATGATCTATGTTTGCTAGAGCAAATATTAACAAGCATGCATACTTATTGAATAATAGTGATTATGCATGACAACTATATGTAATAATTGTTATGTACCTTTTGCTTGGTAATTTGGATTACAAATATTATGTATTTCATTTTCTCCTTTTTCATTTGGAGTGACATCAGAATAAATGGAACTAGCAAGAAAAGCATCACGACCTTCAGGAATGCATGTCGCTTTGTTTCTCCTTTTATATGCTATTACTATCAATACTAATATCACTATGATACTAGTTATCAGTAATACTAATACTATAGTAATGACAGCAGCTATTACTGAAGCTGAGTTACCACCTCCTGTGTTACCAACTGTTGGTCCACTACTTCTTGTGACAGATGAATCAGTAATAGATGATGATGGAGAGGGACTATTGAGATTAACTGAGGCAGTGGTTAACAAGGAATTGGTAGTGCTCAATAAGGTAATGTCACGTAAGCTGGTTGGAATGTTGCTATGTGTCATTACAGTGGAGGAGGGTTGTAATATGGTAGCTATAGCTGTAGAAGGAACTGAAGAAATTGGTTATAATAATAATAACAATAATTATGTATTAGTTAAAGCACTGTTGAGAGTAGGTTACGGAAATTATTGCACGAGGGGCGGTCGAGAAGAAAATGTAGCACGAGGTGAAGCCGAGTGCTACATTTTCGTCGAGACCGTCCCGAGTGCAATAATTTCCGTAATCTACGAATCAACAGTGCTTTGATTGGTTTGTAGTGGTGCATGGGCGGATCAAATGAAATTTCAAAAGTCGCGGGATCAAATGAAATTTCAAAAGTCGCTCAGGTTGCCAGCGCAAGACGATCAGATCTCGTTTATCACTATTATTATTGTTACATGTCTAGTGTATGTAGCTGAGGCTGTTATTTGCCTCTATCAAAGCTTGTGGTTAACAGGAAAGCCCATACATATTATACTGTGCAGTACTATATATTCCCCACAGTGCTACACTTTCCTACCATGCAGTTATTGGAAGTTTTAGCAATGGCTGCGCCTTTGATCCACCCACGCACCATACTACAAAATAATTTAAAGATATACTTACTTATTATAACTGATATCAGTGGATAGTCATTATGCTCCAATGGTATTAATCCATTACTGCTATCAAGCTCATAATTCAATGGTCCATTGTATTGTTGATAATACATTGGATTACTATTAGTGGCTACATTGATTACTAATATATCTCCATACTGTACTTCAATATCACTTGTAAAGTTATATACATTACCATTACTTGATGTAGCAGCAGAATCATCAACAGTTAGTACATGAATCAATTTAGAAGAACGTTTTAAATAAATGTTAGGATAATGTTTGCTGGTATCCTGATTCTGTGTAATACCAATTATCCAGTTAGTAATAATACCATTACATGTGAACTGTATATCAGGAAAAGCTCTTGTATCACTCACTGATATTATATTAGTAATTGATAGACTGTTTGTATTAATTTCAGATTCAAAGAAAAAATTTTGAAAGCAGTTTGGAGGACCTAAATAATAAATTTTTAAATTAACATTACACTATGACGCATAGATTTACATACTTGTTTTTATATGTATCATAAAGACATTAATTGTTTGTGCAAAATCAATTTCACGATTTCCACCAAATAGTATGATATTTGTATCACTAATTGAGTTTGCTCTTACTGTTCCAATTGACACTCCACTGCCAGTTATTGCTCTGTATAATCTAACAACACTTGAATCATCTTCAGGTTGATACACTCCTAGTCTGTAAGCATCATAATTACTGCCACTGACATTAAAAGGAGTAGGAAGAACATAACGATATAATCCATTAGTAGTGACATTATCAGGAGACAGTACAATAGAAATAGTTTCAATTTTCTGGTAATTTTGTGGCCAAACTGAGTCATACTGCCATATCTCAATGCTAGGATACTTGTTCCTATTCCCATATTCTGATCTGACATCAACCCCAAGAAGAACTTCTGTTACACTAACACTACTGCAACTGAATGTATTTTGTCTAATGATCCATCTTCTTTCATTGCTCTCAGCTAAAGTATTATCAGCTAGTGAACCAACTGGTGTAGCTGCTTTAGCTACTAGTAGACTCAAGTCCATGAATCCTTCAGTACATACTCCTCCTCCTGTTGCTCCTTCATTACTAGCAACCAATAATAAAAGGATAAGGACAGCAAGTGAAAGAGCCGAAGAACCAGCCATCAGCCTAACTTTCCCTGGCCTTCTTAATTATTATTCATGAATATGATGTCAAAAAGTAAAACCACACCTCAAAACGTTATATGCACGTGATATCACGTGGGCATTGGTGGTCAATTTACTACTGTAAGAAAGCAACAAACTTTATGACAAAGAACAAAACTGAACTAGATGAGCTTTTTAATGTCTACATAATAACTATAATTTGAGCTCCAGTATCATACACACCCTGTGATTAGAGCTGTCCATATGCTTCACAATTAAAATAACATTGTTCATGAGTATTATACATGGGCTAAATGGAAGGGAAATTAGGGAACATAACTTCAACAGAGATGCAGTATGTCAAATGTAAGCATTTGATAATAATTTAACATTGTGTTTAGAACATGACAAATAGAAAAGTATGGTCTGCAGGGATGAATTCCAAAATAAAATGAATGAAACACAGACAGACAAACCGACTACCTAGTCCTCGCCTACACAAAGCTGGGTGAGGCCAATTAAGTGTAAATTTAGTTAAGTTGTGAGGTGCATGAC